AGAGAGAGAGAGAGAGAGAACAACCAAATATATAAACTATGAGAGGGAACCCAGCATGAACATGTTTCTGGATGGGAATATGACCGAGAACCTAAACACGGAAAATGTCACTCCTGCACGGAGCATCTGTTGTTAGCCCTGAAGAAACGCGTCCAACTTGTTGGATTTAGTGGGAAGCATAGGGCGGAAATCCTCTAACCGTATGTCATTGAGAAGGGAGTCTCCTCTTTGGAGGCCGATGGTGTGGAGGATGTTCCCCAGCACATCTGCCGCTAGTCCTATCTCTCTCAGGCGGCCCGGTTCTTCCCCTCCTTCCTGTATCAATCTTGCTATCTCTCCCAGAGGCACCACATTTTCCATAACAATTTTGGCAAATAGGCGACCCAGAAACTCTGCTGCTCTTGGAGCGTCATTCACAGCATCCTCCAGCGAAGCCAGCACAGACTCAAACCTGCCATCAACAAATGCAATACGATGCAATGCTCAGCCAAAACATCATCACCCCAAAATAATAATAACAAGAACTTGCCATTCGTACCCCTGGAGTAGCTGTACTCGGCTGATCAATCTTTCTCTTGAATTGCAAAGGTTGATGATAAGCTTTGTCAGAAGATCCCTTTCCGTATCTTTTCTCTCAAAGGAGTCCGTGACCCATAGCGATATCATGGAAGGATAAAAACTCGAAGCATTTAATTCCTTGACACACAATGCAACCTCATTCTCATCCTTGGCACTGAGGACCCAAAAAAAAGGTTTTAAATCAAACGACCCAAAGTTATTTAATAAATAAAAAAAAAATAAGGCAATGATTCATTTAAAATAATGGCAGATGAAAGAGCTCGATAAACTAAAATGCTTTTATAGAATTTAAATATGAAAAACTCAAATTCAAGGTTGCAAATTGCTTGCATGACCTAATAGGTAACTTAAAAAGCAGTTCTTGCCAACCAGAGGTGCAAGAACATCCTCATCCCTGTCTGGCTTTGTACAGGAAAAGACCAACAAACTGAGAGAATTAACATCAGGTTAGAAGTTGACCATAAAGCTATAGTTAATCTCCTGTTCAAACTTTCTTGGTTTTGACATATTCTCTACGGCAGACCTCTCGAGAACCCACTTGGATTGGACCTATTCTCAATAGCTGACTCCAAATAAAAAAGGTTTGGATGATGATAGATTATCCCAAACCAAATGAAGAACAATGATATTTTCATTTAAAATGAAGAACAAGCTATATAGAAGAAATAAAAAGCACACCAGGTTGTTTGGCTAACATTCATATTAGTAACAGTTTCCAACAAAGAATTGTCTGTGAAATAAATGTTCAGTGAAATAAAAATGCTAGAGATACTAATGCTTATAACACAAAAAGTTCTGTGAAATAAAGCTTATGATTGATGGAAATATTCATGTGGTACTATGTTGCATACTTTTATGTTCTGTTGCATGATATAATCTCATGTCTAAACTTTACATGCCATCATCATTCTTTTATCAGACTCATCAACAAAGAAGTGCATGCCTTCAGTTTAAAAAACTATTATTCCAACTCAGAAAATTTTCATGTTATGGCTATTGGTTATACTCTAAAAAAAAAGGATTAAGCAAAGGATTTAAAAGAAAATGTCAAGAATAAGGCCAAAGATATTTTAACTATTTCCATCATGCAAAAACCCACATGGAGGAAATTATAGGAAGGCTAGTCGATGCTAAGAACAAAGATTAATTCCAACCATCACAAGCGTAACTAACATTAGCCCACAAAATGCATGGTTAAGAACATTACCTGTAGAACTCTTTGATTGTTGAAATTGATTTTTCCCGTAAAACTTCTTCCGGGAATGTTTTTGTTTCAGAAACTGTAACTAGGCTGCTACCTGGAGTGCCGTGGGTTCTTCCAGCTGGTACAATGGACGTAGCAGATCTCTCAGAAGTCCGATCTAAAACCTTCAAGTCTCTGCTGCCAGAGTTATTACTACAATTTTGAGGGCTTAGTTGCTCATATGTTGCTCCAGAGAACCTATCTATCATATGGTTAGCACCATTAGGACCCGAGTTCATCCTATGATGTTCCCCAACAACCGGTGAAATCTCAGCAGCTCCTACATTAGGTACCGACGGGTGTCCTCTGATAGACATTCCCCTGGCCAAGCCACCTTGAGGACCAAGGGTAATAGAATCATCATCAGTAGACCTTTGCGGTAGGGGAAGTGACATTGTCCTTGTTTCATACTGATGTCTATCCTCCAACCGCACATCTTGGGCACCGTGGCCACGAACCTGAGATGGCAATCCACGAACCTGCTGGGAACTTGGAGAACTTAAAAGTGTGGATCCACGGGAACCATAATCAACTGCTTGAACCCGTCTTGGGACATTAGTAATGACAGGACCACGAGCCAGTCTACCTGACTGAGCTTGCCTTTCTTGAGCAGCATCCCTGTGAACCTCCTCTATCTTCTTTGGCCCCTCAACTTTCCTTCTTTGTTGCCAGTTATTCTTTCTTAGATCAATTGCATCTCTCAACATGAATCTAACACGAGAAGATAGATTCTGATTTTTTGATAACTTCATCATCATGTCAAAATATGCATCCATATGGTCCTTTGCCTTAGGATGGTCTATCATCTCCCCGATTGTACTAATCAGTTTGCACAATGCTTCAACATCTTCCTCATCAGGATTCTGATGTTGTCCCAGCAACTTCTTAATACATTCATGCATAATTCTCTCCGTTAACATCTTTTTTTTGTATAATTCCCCAATCAACCGAATATTACCTAACATGCGCCTGCGTGCCCGGAGCCTTTTCTCTTCCTTCTCCTCTTTGGACTGTTTGATCTCACCTTCCGCTTCAACTTTATTAGCTTCAGCTTGTTCTCTCTCCCCTCTTTCAAATTCCTCTTGACATTTGTTCAGTAGTAGTCTTTTAAAAGTAATCATTTCATTGTTTTCACTTAAAGGTGGCAGTGCAGCAGAAAGATGTAAACAGAAATTGGCATACATTTCACAGAAGGTTGGTTCCAACAAAGCTTTGTCAAAGATCTGCGAAATGACGCCAGTAAGAGTGACTGCATTGTCAATCTCAACCTCCTCAACCTGGGCAAAGAGTCTGTCAAAGTTTTGAGGTGTTAATTTGTTAAGGATGGCTTTTAGTCGTCTTTGTTTTGTCTCTTCCACATCAGAAACTTTGCCCACCTCATACTTTCTCTCAGCTTTGTGCATTGCCTGTAACGGTGCTTGAGGAGAGGGCATTAAGCCTCTTGCACGCTGCCACTTGTCTGCATCAGGATTACCACGTGGCATGCCTCCCTGAGATGCCATGGATTGTGTTGGCCCTGATAGAATTCCTCCCTGCCCACGAGAATTTCTTAAAACCCCATGACTGACACCTTGCCCAGGACGAAGGCTTACAATTGAAACTCCATGCCCCGGGCCAGGGCCAAAAGACCCAGGTGATTTGATCCATTTTTCATCATCCATAGTGCCAACTGTTCGACGGTCTACCCGAGAAGCACCTGATGGCCGATCTATGATCCTCCCAGGACTTGAAACTGGTGATTTTCCTACTAGAATGTTCATCGATACATCCGTTACATCAGAACCAAACTCAAAACCCCCAGGAAGCTCAGTAAACTGATGTGCTAGGGTCATTAGGAAATCCCTCGAGTATTTCTTTCTACCAGTAGATTCAATATTATCACCTTGATGTTGTTTCCTTGCTCCTCCAGTAAGCTGCCCATGTTCTGATGTTTTCAATCTTGGAGTTGATAGATCAGCGGCATCTTCCCAATCATCCAACTCAGCTTTATTCTGCCCATTTTGCTCGCTTGCGGCAACATCTTTACCAGGATAATCGACACGTACAATCTTTGTGTCAGATGTTGAACTGTTTGCACTTTCTAAATTACTAACAACCTCAAGCTTTTCCTCTGGGCCCTTATATGCATTATAAAGATCAGAAGTCCCTGCAGCATCTGCTTTAGAAAGAAATTCCTTTCTCTTCTTCTTTCTTCCAGCAGTAATCTTAGGTTTTGAGGTTTCTGACAAAAGCTTCTCGTTCTGCCCCAAGCTTGTTGCAGAAACCAATCCATCACTAGGCAAATCGAAAACATCCAATTCTGGCTTCTCTTCCGCCTGAGAAAGTGATGGTTTGGGAAAAGAGGACGCCACACCAAAATCAGTCAAACCGACATCCTCTCTGTCTCTTGTTTCATGTTTGATCGAAAGGGTGTCAAATTTATCTTTGACATCATGGGTGGATGAAAGATCATTCCCAACTGCATTTTCAGAATCAGTTGAGTTATTTTGTTTGTCTTGTATCCTATTTTCCTGCATTTTACAAACAACATCATCATTGGAGCCTCTAAGAACCTTGTTGTCCACTTCATCACTCCCACTAGATTTCACTTTCTCATAATATCCAACTCCATCATCTTGTTTTAAAAGCATAGATTCGTCTGCGAGTTGAGAAGACTTGGAAGTGAAAGAAGATGACTGCAATTCAGCACTATTAGGATCTCGCAATGAATCATTTGTTACTTCAGATTTCCCATGTTCCTTCAAAACTGTGTTCACCACACTGGAGTTAGCAACGAAAGTTTTGAAATTAGTTCCGACCACCATAGGGGCCAAGGTAGGAGCCTCAGAAGGAAAATTTTCTTTTATAGAAACATAATCAGGTGCTGCACCAGATGAATCAACAGAACCTTGTGAACAATCTTGAGATGATTCATTCTCCCATATTGCTCCAGATGTGCCCGATGCAGCAGGCATTGCCTTACCTTCAAATGTCTCATTTGCTCCTACTTCTGGAAGAATCCTATTTTCAGCTTGAGGAGAAGTCCTTGTTGGAGAAGTGGGCAATTCAAATGTTGAAAAAATCCGCATACTCTCAGTTTTAGTGGATCCGTCCTGAGTTGCCACAAAGCTAACCTTGGTATCTTTTGAGGGAGATGATTCTGCTCCTTCAGGAGATGATGCATCCAACTGAAAGAATTCAAACATATGCACAGTTCAAATAAGCAGCTAATTGAAGGGAAGGAAGGAAACTAAGAGCACACACCTGACACTGTTGATGGGAGTTCCTGGCATCCTTTTTACTTGTCTTCCTCTGGTTATCCTTCAAAGAATCAGATATTTGAACAGGTTCTCCTTTCTTGCCATCAATTCCAGCCAGAACTGTTGCAGAATCCCCATCTGGTGTTTTGGGAGCCGATGAAGCCTCAGTGAGCACAATTTGCGTTGAGAGAACAGGAGCAGCAACAGAAGTAGTGCCTGTGGAAGGCAATGATACATTATGTAAGGATCCAGAACCTGATTTAAGCTGCTGAGAAGGTTTATCTGGAGTGGTCTCTCTGTGTCTTTGATTGGGAACAGTATCAGCCACAGCAGTCTTTTTTACTTCAGGTGCTTCTGGCTTGCTAACAGGCACACTAATTACCACAGGAGGCGTCGACAAAGATGCCCCAACTCTCTCAGCTTGTGAACTAATAGATGGCTTCATGGTAACCTTGACTGCAGAGGGCAAAGAAGCAGAAGCTGGTAACCCTTCCAGCTTATCGCCTTCAGAAATGTGACGGAGAGGTGAAGGTGCAGGTTTGCCACCAGAAACGGCGTTGATCATGGATGAGTTCATGAAGTTCAAGTGTTGCCCGCTTTGACTGACAGGATAAGTACCATATATTGGAGCCTGTGAAATTGCAGGCGCCTGCCCACTTGCCGCAGGGACAGTAGCAGGAAACATAAGCTGAGAATGGCTATAAGAATTCTGCTGCATAGGGGAGAAGTACTTTGTCTGATGAGAGGCAGTATATGTTGGAAGGGAATGAGCTTGAGGAATTACGTTAGGAAGTGGCCTCTGCCCAGAGGCCACACCATCCTTGAAAGAATCAATTCTTTTCTCAAGCCTCAATTCTTCATGAGTCTCTGGATGAGTTATTTTCACTGTGGTCTTCCGTTGGCCACCAAAATTACCAGGCTGTTGTTGAGGGAATTGTGGAGCAATTCCAATTCCTAGGCTGCGTAACTGTGGGGGCAATTGATGACCAATTGGAGGGGCAAACGCTAAACCTTGTCCCTGGTGCATCATCGTCTGTTGTTGCACAAAATGAGGTTGGATGCTAGGAACATAAATCTGCTGTGCAACTTGGGAGGTATTCCCCACAGGTAACGTCATTGACATTTGCAGTGAATTGGCTGCCAGACCTGGTGATTGCAACTGCGGGCTGGGGCCACCGTATTGAGGAGGAACTTGTGGTGGCTGAGGCTGAAATGGCATAGGCATAGGAACAGGCATACCAGAAATTGGAAGAGCAGAAGCTTTCGGTGCTGGTACAATTGGAGCAGATGGTACTGAGGCACTAGCATCCCTCTTTACCTGAGATATAGAATGGGACTCCCCACCACCAGATTGACGAGCACCACCAACATCCTTCATGGTTTGTTGATGATGCTGCTGTTTTTGAGCAGAAGGTACAGACGATGTAGGAACAGCCCCGAATGACTCGGAATGAGCCTGAAAAGCAAACCAATTGAAACTTCAGTAAGATAATCAAACTGGCACAGCTAAGTGTCTGTTATTGAAGCCAGCATGTCATAGATGCAAGCCGACTATAAGGTTAGATTACAAATTAATGCACAGAGCAACGCAATGAATCAAGGGAAATTGATTGATAGCTATAAACTACACAGTTCTGTGAAAAGAAAAGGACCAAATAGAAAGATATGTTATGTCAAAATATTCACAAACCTGCTCACGTTTCTGCTCGTCGAGATTCGGCGGAGCTGAGCTGGTCCGGGCAGGAATCTTTCATAATCAACAAACATTTCCCAAGTATGAGCAAAAAAACCATTACAAAGAGCACAAGAAACACCAGTATGCCAAAAGACAAAAAAGAATGATACCTGCAATCCATTCATCATGCCAGCATTTATTGAGCCAAACTGAAGTATAATATCCCTGGACATGTCCCCTAAAGATATAATCATGAAAGGAGAATAGCATAAGAATATCTATCTTTTCCCAAAGAGAAAAGGCTCTCACCGATACATCAATAGATTCTCTAAAAGTTCAAATTTTACAATAAGGAAAAACCTTATGGAAAAGGGAAACAGCAATCGATTAAAAAGAAACAATGTTGAACCTTTAGCCGGTGCCGACGGTGCTGCAGGATTCGAGGCTCCAGCAGCAGATTGAGAAGACGGCGCCTTAGGGATAGCTCGGGATGTATTTCTAGGGATCGGCACAACAACTGGCTTTGCCACACCTGGGCCTGGTCCATCTGAAAATTGTATGCAGAACCAACATCAGAACAACACTAGCAATCCCAATTAAATAAAAGGATACATAGTTACTAGTAGATCATCACTGTTACACCGGGACCCTAAAAAGTTAACATAAACTGGTTCTGACTTTTAGGGCTGGAAATAAATCATCAGAAATATATAAAACAAAGAATCGACTCGAACAGAATACCGGGAGAAGGCGCCCAGGGCTGAGCACCATTCTGAACAGCTCGATGGACAGTGGTTGTGGGAGCAGCACCACTCGCTTCAGAGCTCGCATTTGCCAGATTTACCCTAGCTTGACTGCCTTGCCCATTACCAGATTTCTTTAAGCTACAACATCAAAAGAAACCCCTCAAGAACCCACTCTTTTTCAAGCCATTGGACCCAAACCGACAGAAAACATCAATACTGTCAAGAACAGATGGTATCAATCAGAAAGTGGGAGAAAAGACGGCACCTCCGGTTCGCTGACAATGGCGGGGTGATATGCGAGGGAGGAGGAACAGCATGGGATGTGGAAGAAGAGATAGTAGGAGGGGCGGAGACGCCGCCCTTCCTGCCACCGTCAACGAATCCCCTTTGCTGGCCGGAGCTGCCCGATCGACCAGATTTCCTCTGCTGGCCCTCGGTCCTCTCGACCCTGGATTGATTGACGGACATAAATCCCGACCGCACGTCTTCCTCCAATCTAAACAAAGACCACAGCCGAAACAAAAGCGAGTAAGAAGCAAACCACCGATCCCCACCGCATCAAACCCTAAACAATCCACCGAAGCAATCCAATTCAAGAAAGAAGGGCGATAACGAACAACAAACCCACTTCTTGTCGAGCGAAGAGAAACCTAGATGGAACTGGTTGGGGGATAGTGCAAGGGATCCAATCGCTCACCCGAGGGGTTCTGAGCGGTAAAAGCGGGCGATTTGGCGAGATTAGGGTTCCCCCCTCAGTGGGATGCGAACGACGCGGGAATCATCAACAGCAGAGCACAACACGAGAGAGAGAGAGAGAGAGAGAGAGAGAAAGAGAGATGGATTCTTGGAGAGGGAGAGAGAGACAGAGAGTTGAGGGTAAATTGGAGAGTGGAGGGGCGGAAAAGGGAATAAAAATAACAAAGAAAAGAGGCAGTCAAAATTAAAATCAAAATTAAATAGATCGGAAAGGCAAAGGCGGTCAGGTGGAAGGGGGCATCAGATATTTAAAAGGGGAGGTGAAACGAACAGTCCCCCTTCCCACTGTTCCAATTCCCGACTCTCTCTCGAGACAACCGGTTCGGTCTATTTAAAGATCGGATCGGATCGGATCGGATCGGATCAATTGCGATCGTCTCAGCAGAACTTGACTCGATCGGATAAGACAAATTAGATTTACCATCCGATTCATATCACATTGGGGAACAATTTCCTGTGGAAGTCTTCGATGGAACAGCTACCAACACAATGTGCATGCGGACAGGCCTCTCGTAGCATGTAGAATGCGCATGCAAGCATATTCGCATGTCTCTACTATTACAACCATCCATTAGGAGAAATAAAGATAATGGAATGTATTTATTGTCATGTCATCCGGAGTTCTTTGTGTGAGCGTTGCACGAGGCAGGCCCAAATACCTTTTGGGCCTTTAGGGCCCATGATTCTCGGGAGGAGGGCAGCGCATTTGTATGACAGACTTGTACTCTTTGTGGAGCTTTCAGATTTCATGGACGGTAGATGTCGTCTTTTCTTATGCTTTAGTCAATCAAGGCTTGCCACATGATGCTCAAGTCAGATCGAGACGGTTGGTGATCCGATCAATGACTGGGTCACATAGGTCTTAGCCAAATATGAAATATCAAAGAAATATTTCACTTATACCGTAGAATATTTTCTTCGATGAAATCAATTTTAAAAGTTCATCAGACCACCGCGATAATCAAAGTAATTTCTTGTTTAACTCAAAATTCTTACTTTTTGTTTCATGATCGACTTAAGCATCGAAATAGTCACATCAAAAATCACACTTGATTTTTATGCATGTCAGCATATGAGAAAAAGGTGAAAGCATGGAAGGAAGAGAAGAGGAAAAAGGTGGAAGCAGTGGAAGGATGCTAGCAAGTATATCAAACAGGTACTCTTCTTCCACCTTGGAACACTTATGCCATTGATTGAGGCATGCAAATATAGGAAGCACAAGATGAACGCTTCCCCGGTTGATTAAAGAGCAGCGGCCAAGTGGTCTTCCTCTTCTGGTGAGTGAGTGGGATTGGCTACTGACAGCTTAGAACAGTATGGTTTCCCTGACAGATCCAAGATGGAAGGACTTTAATGTCCGTAAGCTGCATCGCCAGCTGAATCAATGCCCACCAAACTCACATGATTACAAAAGACCAGATCAGTATTGGTGTGACCAACAATCAATACAGATCCATTACATGAGATTCCAAACCTTACTTAAAACCTTCAAAATGGCCATGTGAAGCTCAACGAAGACATTGTTGCTCGTCTGGATCTTCTTATCCGACACTGCCATGTGAAATCAACAAATAGTTTCTGTCGAATAGCGACCAGCATTTGAGAACGTTGACAATTCTCCATGCGTAAGCTTTATGACTGATGGATGACGTGCCTTCTTCGGCTTGCATTGAGAACTCAAAGTCCAGCTTCCACTCTCTCTTTCTCGTTTGCATGGAATGTAGAGGGTTGCAGCATGGCAGAGAGCATCAAAGCAGGGGAAGAAGTTGCTCAGAAGTGTTGCTTGCTGTCTCGAGAGCCAAGACTATGTCATCTACCTACTTGATATATAACATATGATCCTCAAAGTTAGCTAACACTATTCTTTACGATATTATTTGAAGGAGGCTAGTAGTAGGTTATTGGTTTATACGTCAGTTCATGTGACTCGATCAACACCAAGGAAGCTTGTTAGCAAAGTATTGTTCATCTTCATAAATGACTTGTTCACCTACCAAATAAACAATCATAGTTCATAGTTGCAGGAATTCTGTCTCTCTCCCTCTCTCACTCTACGTAGTAAATTGTACTTAGAATATGTTAGATTATATGATTTTATTTAATTATATAAGATATATTATAGATATGATTGAATTTTAATTATGATTTTTGGCTAATAGCAAAAAAAAATCTAATATGTAAGATTCATTAGGAGACATCCTCGATGAAAGGAACTCTCTTAAGAACTTATCATAGATTCTCTGCTCTCACCTATAAATAGACAGAATATCTAAGGGCTAAAGAAACATGTCATAAAGGACACAGTTGAGAGATTATAGTTTCTCTCTCAACTCTCCCTAATCCATCATTCTAAGTGGCCTTGTATAAGGATAGGAAGAAAGGTAAAAAAGAGTCTAGTTGTCATTGTAGATTGATAGTAGATTTAGATCTAAAGATAGTGCCTTTGCAGATCACACAAAGATCCTTTTCAGATGGCATCAAAAGTTATTCATCGTAAAAATCGATATAACGTTATTTGATTTCAATCCTAGCATAAATATTTTTCTTATTATATATAACATATAATAGTTTTATTCTAATAATTGATATCAGAGCCTAGGTTCTTGAAATCAAATACCTTAGATCCATTATTTTCTGATTTTATGATATTTGAATAATCCATATTTTGTCGATCTAAATTCCTATTTATTATGTCTTATCTCCTGCTTACGGGCAATGTTAGATTCCTTGTAACGATGATCTGTTTTTCTATTTGATTTGTCCTATTGCTTGATTACAATCAATATACGATTTATTGTGGATGATTGATGGATTTACTATGACGTTGTTGAGGCGATAATTTTTGTTAGTTGCTTGTTCAGTTATTGACAAAAGCTAAAGGGCTATGTACAGAGATTGCAACCGTGCATCACGACCGCGTGCGGGCAGCGATTTGCTTGCGAGCGATGGCTACACCATGCAATAGTAACAATGACCGTTGGCAATCGCCAGGCGACAAGCCGCACACCACGATGGTTGCATATCACGGTACCCGCATGCAGTCGATGGCAATCGCACGTAGACATGCAGTCGATGGCAGTGCAACAGCGATCGTGCGTAGACAATAATCACACGCGGATGTCGACGGCACCACGGGCATCCTTCACCGCTTGTGAATGCAGTGGCCACGAAAGGCGGCAGTTGCACCCCATGTGAAGTCGGTGGCCATACTGGCGACCTCCCTTACACGCGCGACACCCACCTATAGAGGATGCTTGCAGAAGTGCGGTAGATGGCGACAACCGCATTACGCAATGGTTGTCCCCATGGGCAGCGACGATGATCACAATTCGAGGTGGAAGATTAGAGTTTTTCTCAAAAAAATATTTTTTCCCTTCAGAAATAAAAGAATTTTAGGGTATATCCTTTTTTTTCTTTCCATAAATGTCCTTCATAAAATTAAAAATTTTCTAGCATATCCTTTTGATAGTTCTACCCTTTATTAATCTCATAATTCTAGTTTATCTCCTATCAATAAAATTATAATTTTACCCTTTGATCAATTCTTATTGATTGACTTAATTAGATTGATGTTTAGTCTAATTATAGGTTTATCTAATTAAATAAGTTTGATTAGTACAATAATTATTTTATAGTTTTCTGATATAAATTATTGATTGTAAATCCAATTATTGTTCTTAGATATTTATTTAATTATTCATATATATATTTAAAATTATGAAATAATAGTTATCTTCTACATAAAGCTCTTCATGTGTTATCATGATTATAGTTATTATATGAGTTTTCTTTATATTAATCAATATTTAATAATTATTATGATTGTTATTCTTTTATTAAACTGCTTCAACATGAATAAAAAAAACTTAGTAAATATTATTTATAATTTATCTTCCTAAGTTTTATTTGACTAATAGCTCCCAAAGTAGCTTAGTTTGATAGACTTATAGGATATGAATTACAAAAAATACCTTATCATTTATAGGATACTTTAGACTATATTTTATATTTTTGTATTGGTCCTATAGCTACCAAAGTATGGACCAATAATCTATAAAATACATTATGAAATTAGTCCTAAATGATATTAAATAAAATAATATTCATAATGACACACATAATTAGAAGATTTAAATATTCGTAAAACAGAATATATTTTTGAATATTATGCGATGTAATAAGATGATACTATTTTGGATATTCTTGTAGTTTATCATTGTATATACAAAGATAGCAATACTATTTCTTGAGGATGGTATTAATCCTCTATAAATAATTACATATATGAATAGCAAATATGTCAATATTAAACATAAAATATTGATATTATCAATAGTTCAACATTCATTAAAAAACTTAAAACATTAATGTTATATTATTACAGTGGTACCTCCTTCCTTTATTATATGTTTTTATAAATATCCTTGTATATTTTGGAATAAATGGCTTGAGCATATGACAATTGTATTAAGTGAGTGAGACCTTGATCAAATTAATTGAAGAGAATATAGACTTAATTACTTTCTAAAAGTCTTATAAAATAAATAATTAAGGTGACTAATCAGAAAAGGTCTAAAAGACTCAATTTTATGATAACTTAGACTTTAGTATAGTTTACAACTGACGCATGAGAATATTTAAGGATTAATTTAAATTTTCTAATAAGTCATTAGCTAACACCTTAATAAAAGAACTGACTAAAAAGATAGTATAAGGAATTCAAGATTATATCCTTAATATAATTGATAAAATTATTAGATCAAGATTCAATAATATTTTGAGTACTACTCAAAGAATGAGTAACACTAAAATAATGATAAAGGGTAAGTCACTTGAGTTTATAATTACTATATAAACTTATAAAAAAACATCTTCGTAATAAAGTGTTACTTATGTAGCAAAAAAAAGTTACTTGAAGAAAAACTATAAGATTTGGTTTGATATAAAAAGGTATAAGTATAACATTTATATGATTCAAATCAAATATTACATAAATTATTTTACTTGGTGGATTAATTTGATGCTCCAATATATGTTACCAATAATAGAGATTTATTTTAATATTAAAAAAAGAATAAAACCAAAATAGAATAAAATATTCATCATTATAGGAAATCATCTTAAAGTTAAAGCGATAATAGTTTGTTTTTATCACCTACATCCAAAGATGATTTATTT